CGGGCGGAGCAGCGGGCTCGGGGCGCAGGGACCCGGCGTCCGTCCGCAGCAGCCCCGTCCCGCGCTCAATCAGAGCGTCCAGTGCGCGGGGGAGGGGGGACGACGAGGAGGGGAAGGGCAGAAAGGAAGGAGGTGACAGCCCTCAGTTTTCCAAAGATTAGAGTCCCGGCAACTAAGGTCTGCCGACTTCGCCTGGGGACTTTGCGGCAAGTGCTGCAACAGAGACGCCTTCCTGACCTCGTCCCAAGCTCCAGCCACTTCCGCAGGGGAGCGTGAGAAGTCAAAGCGAGACACCAGCAACTTCAGATACAGACACACGCGCGAGATGGAGGGGCGGGGGACTCGGCGCGCCCAGGACACAGCTTTTTATTTTTTGTTTTTCCGAAAAGCCTAATTTCCTCCGCGTCCAGCCTGGGGAGGAGCAGCAGACCTCGCAGCTCCGCGCAGGCGAGGGGGCGTGTTCTCCGGCCCAGGCCGCCGCCCGCCGCCGCCGCCGCCCCGAGGCCTCGCGGTTCTTACCTGGAAGCCTGGCCCCGCAACACAAGTAGGCTCGCGGGCCGCGTATCTGCGGAAGGTCCTATCCTGACTCCATCATTGAGTATCCGCACCGACCCCACACCCGGTAGCCCTAGCCGGGAAGACAACACTGCGGCCAGGCGGAAGTCCCGCCCCGCGCGCCTCATTGGCCTGCGCCCGAAGGCAGCGGGAAGCCATTGGGCCACAGAGCTGCTTGCTAAGGCGCCTTCCCACTCCCACGCCGGTGCCTGCTCGTGCGGGGCGGGGCGGGGCTAGGAGAGGTGCCCCGTTAGCCGAGTCGCGTTCTCCGCCTCGTGATCGCTCTTCCCCAGAGGGCTGGGCAGGGCGGGGCAGACCTCTCGGTCCGCTTTCGGAGGCGGTGGGCGCAGGCTGGCCTAGAGGATCGTGCCCCTCGGAGTGGAGGTCGTGGGGTCAGGAGGGAACGAGACCCAGGAGGAGGGCCGTCCCTCGGCGGGCCTGGCGCCGGCGCCAGGGCGTCTCTTCCCCGCACCACACTCGCCCGACCAGCCGAAGAGGCGAGGACCAGGCCTCATCGCCCCCGCACGGTGCCTGCAGGCTGGGAGCGGGGATGGGTGGGACCGAGGCCAGCGCTTTAGAGTCCGGGTCGGGTGGTTAGAGGAGCGAGCAGCCGGAGGGCTAAACGCGCGTCCGCGCCCGTCTGGGAGCCGCGCCGACCTTAGCACTCTGGGCCATCTCCGGGACTTGGCAAAAGTCAAACCGTGTGGTTAAGCCCTAGGTCAGACTTTTATAACCTTTGCCCCCTTTTGATGAACCAAAAATCTCTTCCCCTACCGCCCTTCTGGTAAACCTTACTGGTCCCGGGCGCACCAGCCTTCAACGAGGCGACTTTGAGATTTAAATTAACCGGATTGGACGGTCCGCCCTGATCTTCGTCGCCAACTAGCCACTTTAAAGAGGCAATGAAAGAAGCAGCCGCAGCGGCAGCGGGCTGGCTGCAAGGGTCGCCTCAAGTCCTAAGTTAGAATAGAATGCCGGGAGACGCGATTCTGGTCCCGCTTCAGTTTCCAAATCGGGCGCCTTTAAAAGCCTTTTCAACCTCACCTTTTCAACAAAGGAGGGGCGAGAGGGGCTAACGCAGGAAACACCTGCAGACTGCGCCCTTGGATGTAACTTCTAACCTTCGTTGCTCTGGGTGCACCTGAGTGGCTGGAGCACGGGAATGGGCGAAGACTCTCCCTATTGCTTATCTTTTGGGGCCTTTGAATTTTGAGCCTTGTGAATAGTATCTACTCAAATTAAAATTAAATACAAAAATTTAAAAATCAAATTACAGTAAAATAACGAAGGCCATCAAAGGTATTTTCCTCTTCTCTCTACCCTATGGCTATATATTCTACATATTCTTAAATTTCACCAGCGTGAAGACAGTGAACGCTTAATACACAGTCCTGCCTTATCAGAATTAGGAATATTACTATGAAGTCTAGTGTAATTAGTGTAAGCATAGTTAAGTATCTATAAGCATTTCTTCATTCTCAAATTGGCTTTATATTAAATCAGAGATTTCTTGCATGACATCAAAAGAATTAAAAAAATAGTAATGTTCACATATATAGGTTAAAAAAAGAACAAAGAAGAGTTTGGTTTTTTATTCCTTAAATAAAAGCACCTTGAGGACAAAACTTGTTAATCTGACTAACCTACTCTTCAGGTTACAATTGGTATAGTTCTTTCAGTTATAAAGAAGGTAAAGTGCTTTTTATACTTCATTTAGGCGGACTGATTGTGCTACGCCCTGAAGAACTATTTATTCTCCCCACTGTGTTGAATAAAAGTAAATTGGAAGAAAATAGACTGGGAAAACATACTAGCGCTGTAAAAGTAGGTTAGACAGTAAGGTTGATAGATAATCTTAATTATGGTTTTCAAGAACATAAGGGTTAACGTGGCACATGATACTAATAGCCATTAATTATCCTCATTAAAACAAAAGAAAATGAGCTTTTAGGACTTTGTGTTTGACAGGGTTTTTTAAAAAATCCTCCTAAAAGTACAAACAGCATGTAACATTGTAGAGTTTCCCACTTCCAAAATATTGTCAGCTAGCAACAACAACTAAAAAAAAACCAATATACCCAATTACCTAATTGTCTAAATGGCTTAAAAGAATACAGGCTAAAATATTAAAAGAATGCAGGTAGTCTAAGTACTGAGGTTAACTAAAGATGTTAAAATTTTGTCTCTAGTCATTGTTATACTTACAATTTTAAAAAGGTAATTTTAGAATCAGTAAAAAGTTATTGTCATATTGAAAAGAAGAAAATAAAATTATTACTGTGATAAAAGACGGAATAGAATATAAAGAATCCACAGGAATCCATACATGTATGGATGAAAAAGGAATTTTTACCAAAGGTAACCTCATAGAATATGATCATAAATTCCTAACTGGGCAAGTCATAGTTGGTAGTCATGCCCCAGGCATATAACTTCTCTAGTGAAAGGTTTTTAAGCAAGTTTTGTTCATTGTTTCTGTGCATTTAGGTTAACACACCTTCAAAATACCCCTGGAAGGTGTAACCTCCCTCCAAAGAGCATGTAATTTTGTTAAATATAGTGTAATCTGATTGACACCCTGTTTTCTCCCACCTTCATGTACTCTTCTTTACTTCCCTCCTTAGCCTCAAATGTGTAAAAGAAACTGCAAAACTGTTATTCTCAGAAGCATTTGAGATGTTGGTTCCTGACAATGGTTGTCAGTTTGACTCAAATAAACACTTATAAAAACTCTCTACAGAATTGAATGTTTCTTACATACACATATGTATGAAGTAGGCACATTTGAAAAAGTACCAAACAGAACTTTTAAAAACTGTTTTAGGAAATTCCTGGCCAAAGATTAGAACAGACTCCCATTTAACAATTCTAAGCTAATAAGTTCTTTTTGTAAGGTAGTGAAAGGTTCAGAGGACAAAAGGTTGGGTATCAATCAAAGGGTTTTTTTTAAAAAGTGTATGTTCCAGGAGTTGAGAAAGTTCAGACAAAAAGAAAAAGAAAAAAAGATCTATTTAAAGTTAAATGCCTTTAAGAAATGACCTGGTCATTGTTTGCCTTGAGATGAGTTGATAAGTTGTATCCCTCTCTTATATCTAACATGACTGACATGCAATTTCAACTTTTCCTTTTTTTTTTTAAGAATTTTTATTGATTTTAGAGAGAGAGGAAGGAAGAGGGAGAAAGAGAGAAACATCTATCAGCTGCCTCCTGCACGCCCACTACCTGGATGGAGCCAGCAACTTGGGCATGTGCCCAGACTGGGAATCAACCAGCAAGCCTTCCATGCATGGGACCACACCAACCAACCGAGTCACACCAGCCAGGGCTTCCTTTCTTATTTGGGGTTTTGAGAGGCAGGCTTCCTCTATTTTCTAACAAAAAAAAAAACAAGCAGGCAAAAAGTTTATAAGACATAATGTAAAGTAAAGACAAATTGGCATTATCTGCAAAGGCTGAAAAAAGCCATTTTCTATCACACAGCAATTTCAATCCTGGGAATATAGCCTAAAGACACACAAATTCAGATCAAGGTACATTGTATTACATTTTTGAAATAAATTGAAATACATTTTTTCGTATATTTTCATATCGAGGTACATTGAAACATATTTTTAATTTGATTTATTGATTTGAGAGGCAGAGAGAGAGAGAAAAACATGGATTTGTTGTTCCACTTATTTATGCATTCATTGGTTGCTTCTTGTATGTGCCCTACCTGGGCATTGGACCTGTGATGTTGGTGCACCGGGACGCTCTAACCAACTTAGCAACCCAGCCAGGGCACATTGTAGTGAAATGAATTAAAGGAAAACCAAAGTACTTAAGTAAGCAGAAAGAAGAAAAATATTGTACATATAAAGGAATAGAGGCTGGCTTCTTAATAGCAACAAAAGAAACTAAAAGTTAATGAAATAATATCTTAAAATTAAAGATGGCAGTGGACTGAGTGGAAGCTACACTGACACTCTCCTGGAACCAAACTGGAATTACAACTAAAATATAGAAAAACCATCCTGAATAATCAACTGCAACTGAAGGCGAGCTGGAGAGCACCCTCATAACCAAGGAGGAAAAGTGGAGACCACATAGAGACTGGTAGGAAATGAGGAGGTGCACGAGGGCTGGCTGGGCTCCCACAGGCAGCAGCTGAAAGTCTGGAGGGATACCTCAGCTGTGGGGGGGTTTCCCTGAGGACTCTGGGGCCTAAACCCCAGTCTGGGCTTCCCAGCCAAGAGCACCAGGACTGAGAAAGGTGCCCACATAACATCTGACTGTGAAAAGCAGCAGGGTTTCTGCCTGCCAGGGAGAGATAGCTAGAAATGCAGGCACCCTTTTCAAGGGCCAACACAGTTTTGTGAGCAGCCACTCACCTTGGGCTCCAGCAGAGGGCAGGCAGAGTGGACTGGAGCTGTGTGAGAGAATCTAGAGTTGTGAGCTCTGAAGATAGAGCTCAGAGGACAGCCAGCTGGATTCCTGTGCCTAGTCATTTCCCCCCAAACTGCAGGGGACATCTTTCTCAGGCAGACATTTACCCTCCAAGCAGCTTTTGCCTGAGGGGGAAACAATTGCCCCACCCTGTTGGAAAACCTCTCACCCTACCTATAGCCTGAGGCTCATTAAGAGAATCAGATTAATCAGCCTGAAGGCAGAGGCAGACTTCAGAGTGCTTTGAGTCTTTGCCTGATCTGCTTCTGGACCCAGGCCTTGGAAAAACAGACCTTGGTGTGCATCTTGGTCCTGTCCAAACAAACCCAGCCCCACTGGAGGGGACCTCAAGTTGTGGGTTGTTGATAGCTCCAAACAGGGTACTCAAGGCAAGTTACAAACAGTGTGTGACATTGGCCTGCACCAGAGACCTTCCAAAAAGACTGAGAGTCCTAGCAGGCCTACCTAATACATAGAAACAAACCCAAATAGGCAGCCAAAGTGGGGAGACAAAAAACAAGCCCCAAATGAAAGAACAAGAGAATTCTCCANCCAAACAGGCAGCCAAAGTGGGGAGACAAAAAACAAGCCCCAAATGAAAGAACAAGAGAATTCTCCAGAAAAAGAGCTCAATGAAATGGAGATAAGCAATCTATT